TACAGCAGCTTCATTCATTACAGCCTAAATTGGAAAAAAAATCAAATATATGTCACCTGATGAATGGATAAAGAAAGATGCTATATCTGGTATAGAGGAATGTTAATCAGCTGTAAAAAGGAATAAAACACTAGTTCACACTAAAACATGAATGAACCTTGAAACCATTATGTGAAATGAAAGAAGCCAGACACAAAAAGGTATATGTTGTATGATTCTACATATTTTAAGTGTCTAGAATATCTAATTCCACAGAGACAGTCAGTTAGTGGTTTTCAGGGAAGGGGGAAGGGAATGGTGGGGAGTGTCTATTAATGGGTTTAAGGTTTCTTTTGCGGGTGATGAAATTGTTGTAAACTCAGATAGAAGTGAAGACTGCCCAACTCTGTGAATATACTAAATCCCCACTGAATTACACTTTTTAAAAGGGTAAATTTTTACATTTTTATTTTATATTGGAGCATAGTTGATTAACAATATTTTGTCAGTTTCAATTGTACACTAAAGTGATTGATTCAGTTATACATACACATGTATCTGTCCTTTTTTGAATTCTTTTCCCATTTAGGTTATTATAGAATATCGAGCAGAGTTCCTTATGCTATGTCCAGTAGGTCCTTGTTGGTTATCTGTTTTAAATATAGTAGCATAAACATGTCAATCCCAAACTCCTGATCTATCCCTCCCCCACACCAAAAGTGTAGCTTTTATGGTATATGAATTATATCTCAATAAAGATATTATTTTAAAAATTGAGTGACTCTAAGACTGATAATAACCTTATCAGAATATAGAGGACATGAAAGGGAGCAGATCTGGGGAGAAGATGAGCTTGGGACATAGTGAAATTAAAACATTTATAAAACATTTATCTGTTTTATAAATATTCACTATTTTAAGAGCTCATTTACAACTTTAAAAGCGGTGTATTGGGGTACTGTCTACACAGAAATGACTATTGGAAACATTGAAGTGGTTAAATGCTCTGAGTGAGAAGAGGGGAGGTCAAGTCCAAGATAAAATCTTGAGAAACGTTATGGGAAAGCAGCAAGAGAGAGAACAGAATTCCAGGAAGAAAAACTATTTGGAAAAAGGCCTGAAGAAAGAAGGAGGCTGAAACAATGTGAACAGCTTGAATAGAAGGCCAGCATGGCAGAGTACAGAAGTAAATGCGGAGAAAGACAGGATGGGAGGCATTTTTAGAGGTGAGTAGGCAGGGTTGAGGACGCAGGGTCCTTAAGCTAAAGAACAATATGAAACTCATAAACAGGAAAAGTCGGGATTAGATTTGTATTTTTAAAAGATCACTCTAGCTCTAGTGTGAGGAATGATTTGGACAGGGTTCAATCAAAATAACACTGGTGGGAGATGAAAACTTGGACTAGATAGTGATTATATAGGTGGAGACTTGAGAGAGATTTCAGAGATGAAATGATAAGTGGGTGATGATTGAAAATGGATGGTTGGTGAGGACTGAATCTGGCTGGTGAGGGAGAGGCAGATGTCAAGGAATATGCCTTGTTTTCTGGCTTTCTTGTATTGGATGTTGGTGCCTTTGAATGGAATAGAAAAGACACCCACTGTGAGGGAATTAATGATGTTTGTCAAAATCCAACCAGAGCTATTGAGAAGAAAGCTGTATGAACAAGACTGCTGCCTAATAGGTAGCTCTGAGCTGAAGACAATAACCTGGGAGCCATCATCATGTGGACGGTCAGTGAAGTCAGGGAGTGAATGGGGTTGATTAGAAAGAGACCGAGACGCCAACAGAATCAGTCTGAAACTACAGACTAATGACCACAATGAACTTGAAGAACACCAACATTTGGTGCTCATATTGAGTTGATTGAGCCACTGTAAGAGAAGGAGAGAGAGAAGGACTGGTTGGAAAAAGAAGGAACACCAGGATAATCCTCTATCATGAACACCAAGGAAAGAGAGTGTTTCAAAGAGAAAGGCGTAATCAGCAAAGATAGATGGATTAGATGTTGCTGAGAGATCAGTAAGGATAAAACATGTTGGTTGTGAAAATTTGATACAATTCCATAGTGAAAATATATCACAAATAGCTAACATTACAAAACCCAAATCTGGACACAATCCTTGAATGAGGAGGTGTGACTGATGCTGACTGTTGTTGAATGTGGCTTATGACTGTTCAAAGGAGTTCCTGGTAATTAGGGAACTGAGACTTGGTGGCCTTCCCAAGTGGCTTCAGTAATCAGACATGATGCAACCATGTGGAGGTGTTTGAGAGGTGCAGTTCTCAAACCTATATTCCCCTGGGTCCTCCCTCTCCATAACCTCCACCCAGAGAAGCATAGGAGTGTGGAAACAAATGGGGGGGATTCCCCATCATTGTTGGTAGTCCCTGAAATCAGATCAGGAAAACACTCACGTATGAGTTACCAAATCTTTTAGTAATACAAAAATGTATGTATTTCTTAAATAATAAGTGTATCCTTCCCTCTTTCACACATCCCAGTCCCACCTCCAGCACCTTATAAGCTCATGTTCTAACTCCTGTTTGCTGAAGATGTAACCGGTCAGTTTTGGAGCAGGAGTGGGTAGATAGTTATCCAATGAGCTCTGTAGCAGTACTGACAGTGTAAATGACAGCATTGTCCAACCATTTTTGTAAAATTTTCTTAATCCAATAATAACTTCAGTATTAATAGTTATCAGTGAGGTAGGATGGCAATTTTCTGTCATTTAAGGTAATTCAATCCAAGCAGAACATAAACATTATAAAAATTTATGCTTTCAACTAGATCTATTTTACATGCATTTGAAAGCTAGCTGTATTTAATCACTTTTTATTACATAAGCTAATGATGTGGATAATGTTGTTGACTTTTTATTCATCTCTTAATGGGTAGTTTCAGAGCTAAACCACCTCAAGTGCCCTCCTACAGGGCTGCTAAATGATAAGAGCAAAATCGTATAGGAAGATGACAAATTGTTCATCAAGAACCACAACCCTGTTACAGAGAAGATAAAATGGAGCTGAAAGGTCTTTATAGAATCTCTTGCAATTGCTCAAGAAATAGTAAAGTATATTTGACTGCATTCAGTTTAAAAGTATACAGTGGATAAAATCTGAGCTAACTCACTAAACTTGTTTTTCCAATTAGTATAATTAACAAAGTTTGACTTCTAGATTGTGTGTGCTTTTCAAATTAATGTGCGGTCAGACCTTACTTTCTCAGGGGCTATAATTTGGTTATCATATTTGTGGATGATATAGGCCCTCTGCTTCTTTTCCCCTTTTATTTCTCTCCCTTTGTTGTTGTTGACTATTTTCAAGATATGCCATCCCTTGTTAGTAATTCTGCTTGGCAAGGGAGCAGAGAAAGGAGCTGTAACATAATTCCATTCATTTCACCTCTTTGCTAGCAGCAATGGTAGAAGATTTATTACAGGAAGAGGTTGAAAGTATTGCCTGAAATGAAGTTCAAGGAAGACGGTATGTTTCAATTATTTGCACACTCTCTCTGTTCTTTAGACAAACAAACCAGTCTTGGGCATGCAGTCAGCTGTTCAAATCTTATTATCTCAAGTGCAGGGTGTCCATATACCCTGTTTCCCCCCACTGCTCACCTGCTCTGTCTCCCCAACTTTGTTAGAAGCCCTATGTGTTACTGACTCTACCTGAAGAGAGACAGCACAAGGAAAGCCTAGCTGCGCATTGCACTCATGTCATCTAAGAATAGTAAGAAGTTGCAGCCTTGGAAACACAGTCCTTAGGGTTGACTTAGAACCACCTGGGGATCTTGTTAAAATGCAGATACTCAGTAGGTCTGGATTGTAGCCTGAGGTTCTGCATTTTGTTCTTTTTTTTTCTTTTACAGAAGACAACTTTATTGATTATTTATTAATGATGTAGCTATATTCTATTTTTAGTGCTACACAATTAACAAAGGAAACTTGTAACATGTATAAATTTAGAAATCATTGAGATAATCAAAGCACATATCACAAGTGTTCGCTAAGTTCAATAACAAATGGTAACATGAATGGGGTCACATGTCTTCCACAATAAGGTCAATTTTTAAACCCATACACTAAAAAGAAAAATTACCAGTATTATCATGATTATTACTATATTATTATTTTTGTTAGTGCCATATAATATTGTTAAGATGCAGAAGTGATAAGCAAAGAACTTGTAGCTAAGATAACAAGGCCTAAACTTGTTAACTTTCTCTTTGGCTTCCTCCCTGTCTAAGTAGAAAGATGTATTCTGCCAAAGCTTCTGAAAAGCCAAAACTTGATAAATCCTCTTTGAAAATGCTGAGGTTCTGAATTTCTCATAAGCTCCCATGAAAACTCTGTTGCTGCTTGTCTAGGGACCCACACATTTTGAGTAGAAAAAGCTTAGAAACCCCGTGGCAGACCTTAATAAGCAATAACTAAGAACTTATTCTACTTTACATAGAGTTTGGAGTATAGATAATAAAATAAAGATCTTCCAAGGTATATTTTTGTTTAAATACAGAAACAGATATTTGTTCAATTGCTCAGTCATGTCCAACTCTTTGCGACCCCATGGACTGCACCAGGCTTCCCTGCCCTTCACCATCTTCCGGAGCTTGCTCAAGCTCATCTCCACTGAGTCAGTGATGCCATCCAACCATCTCATCCTCTATTGTCCCCTTCCCCTCCTGCCTTCAATCTTTCCCAGCATCAGGGCCTTTTCTAATGAGTTGGCTATTCGCATCAGTGGGCCAGAGTATGGGAGCTTGAGCATCAGTCCTTCCAGTGAATATTCTGGGTTGAGAAAGATATATTTTGCTATAAATCAGTGTTTCAAACATGGTTCCTTTTTTTTTTTTTTAAAGAATTTATTGTGATCAGAACACTTAACATGAGATCTACTCTCTTAACACATGTTTAAGTGTATAATCCAGTATTGCTAACTATAGGTACAATGTTGTAAAGCTAATCTCCAGAATTATTTTATCTAGCTTAACTAAAACTTACTCCTGTTGATTAGTAACTCCCCATTTCTGCCTCACTAAGCCCCTGGAAACCACCATGCCACTCTGATTCTGAGTTTGGCTATTTTAGCCACATTATATAAGTGGAATCATGCAGTATTTGTCTTTTCTGACTGGCTTATTTCATTTAGCATAATATCCTCAGGGTTTGTCCATGTTGTCACATATTGCAGAATTTTCTTTTAAAATAAAAAAAAGACTGAATAGTATTTCATTGTGTGTTTATATTACTCCTAGCTTCATCTATGGGAAGGAAGGTGTTGGCACATGCATCTAACACCCCCGCTTTTCCAAGGGGGCTCCCCGGAGGACTAACTTCTGTCTTGCCAGTACTGGAGCTCCGATGGGTGCAGTACAGTCTAGTTGCCTGGGGAAAAGGAGATGGCAGCTTGGGCTAGTAGGTGACTTAGCCCAGAGCAAATGGATGAAAAGTCTTAGCTCTCTGCTTCCCCTTGGGAGGTAAAGAGTGAAATCAAACATGTTTTCTTAAAAGCAGTAAAACTCCTTTCTCAAAAGAAATATTTAATAAAAGTTCACTACGTAAAACAGCAAAGTGGTTGCATGAAGGGCAGATCCCCTAAACCCTACCCACTTAGCCCTCCTTTCAGTTCCCCTCAGCCAGAAACATCTCAGTGGAACTGTAATTTCCAAAGGGCATACATACAAAACCATTGCTTTAGGCTCTAGTTTATATCTCTTGGCCAGTGCCACACAGTCGTGTCCATTCATTCATTCAACACATATTTATTGAATGCCTACTGTGTGCCAGGCACATGGTGGGGCTTTACATTCTAATGGGAAAGACCAACAATAAACAGCAAACAAAATGAATAAATAAGTCACATACTACATTAGAAGGAGATACGAGCTACAGAAGAAAGTGGAGAGCAGGGTGAGGTGTATAAGGATCCTGGTGTAGGCTGGGGCAAGTACAGCTGCAAACAGGGCGATCAGAGAGGGCCTCATGCATGTGTGTGTGTTCAGTCAGGGCTGACTCTTTGCCACCCCGTGGACTGTAAACTTCCAGGCTCCTCTGTCCATGGGATTTCCCAGGCAAGAATACTGGAGTGGGTTGCCATTTCCTACTCCAGGGGATCTTCCCGACCCAGAGATTGAACCTGAATCTCCTACACTGGCAGGTGGGTTCTTTACCACTGGCTCCCCTTGGGAAGCAGAGAGGGCTTCAAGGAGAGGCAAAGACTTGAAGGTGACCCAACGCTACAAGGATGATGTTGTGAACTCACAGTAAAAAGTTGGATCTGAGACCCACCCTATGATTGTCTAAAGGCAATCCGTGATGGGTAGTTTATCCTGCAGATCCCTTAGCCTGGCCAACATCACTCAGATCACAGGGAGGCACAAAGTCACACACTGTTTTACACCCTGCCATCTTCCAGAGATCCATCAAGATTTTGGAGTCAGTATCAATTATTCATTTATTCATTTCTCAACTATGTTTTAATCATTCACCATGTTAGGGACCTTGTACCAGGTGCTAGGCTATAGATGCCAGAGGGGCATGTGCATGAAATGGCAATCACCAAATGGTGTGCTAAGTGCAAGATAAAGCTATGCACCTGGATAATGAGAACTCAAGAGCATCAACCCAGGTCTGGGGTTAACCCGGACATGAAGGATGAGCACGACTTCAGTGATGATGGTCCGCCTCCCTCTAACAAAACCACTTGCTAAATAATGGCCCTCCAGAAGTCTGAAACCCTTTATAAATATCAGATTTTGATTCGTGGATATAAAAAAAAAATCATTGCTAATTGAAGTAAATTGTCACCTTCAAATATTCTTGGACTCTGCATTGGTGAGGTGCTTTTCTTCATTTATAGAGTAATTTATTTTGCTATACATTCATTGTTCATGACACTTCATCATGCTGAAATGCATTTTCTTGATTGTCTGTGAGGTACCCAGGGGTAATAAATGTGTTGCTACATTTTGTAGACTGAATAATATCCTGCGTGAAGGAGCAATAGAGAGAGGGCAGACAGAGTGGTGGGCGGGGGAAAGACACACAGGTGCACAAAGAGAAAGGCAGAGAACAAGCAGAAATAAGCCCCAGAGTAGGGAGAGGAAAAGCACATTTATCCACATGACATAGCATCAAGTGATGCTTCTGTTCAAGTGATACAGCTTTGCTCATGCCAGGAAGACCCAGGGGTCGGCCTGCTGGCGGTCACTGTTAACACCTTTGTCCTGAGACAAGGTACCCTAAAGAGGAACATGAATGCATCTCACAGTCTCCCAACACCAGGGATTTGTGCATTGTGGGGACCAGACTTTTCAACTGAGAGATCAAAGAGGAGATATCCAAACGGAAACTGGATTTGAAAGGATGTCGCCAGAGCTGTACAGAGGCAGGCTGATTCCTTTATCCTCCCAGTCCTGCCCTGGCCCTTCCAGGATGCCATGCAGACCTCCCCTGGCTGTGATCCTTTGGCACCGGGTGTGTGGGCTCCTGGGAGGCTCATGCACATTTTTCTTCTTGTAAGAAACAGTCACACGTTCTGAGGGACCAGCTCTCTGGCACAAAAGCTTGGTGTGATTGGGTGGGGGCGGGGTGGGGGGGTCCTGGTGCCTTCAGTTCCCCTTTTATCCACCTCCTTCCTTCCTTCCCCACTCGGCTCTCTTCTCCAGAAAGGCACAGCAACCAAAAATAGCTAGTGCACTTACTCTCAATTTTCTGAACATTAATCAATCGCCACCCCACCTCCACCCCCCAGGCTGGGGATTTTCCATCACCATTATTCCTGGGACTCTCTTGTGACACAGACGGTCACACAGACATTTCCTGACTGGCCCCACCCCTTCGTTATCATAGATATCTTTTTAGCTCAGAGGTCATTAATCACAGGACTCTGCCTGGCATCTCGGAGCAGGCAGCCCAAGCCAGGAATGCTGAGGGAAGCAGTTGCTGGTTTTCAAGTCCAGATTCACTTTAAGTACTTGCTTTTATAGAGGAAGAAGCAGAGTGGACACGGGGCCACTTGTCGTATCATACTCTTTCTGATGGCGACCTCAGGGGGCAATTTGCAGAAAGCCACACCTTGGAGAATTTTCCCCAGCTTAATTACATTTTAGCAGCAGTCTCAAAAGATAACCCTCCAACACCCTATTGCTTCCCTTAACAGTTTTTTTGTTTGTTTAGTTGCTAAATCCTGTCTTTTTTGGGACCCCATGAACTGTAGCCCACCAGGCTCCTCTATCCATGGGATTTTCCAGGCAAAAATACTGGAGAGGTTTGCCATTTCCTCTTCTACGGGGTCTTCCCAACCCAGGGATCGAACCCACATCTCCCGCATTGCAGGCAGATTCTTCACCACTGAGCCACCGAAGAATTAGTGCTATATTATCCATGGATTTATTTACACTCATTTCCACTAATTTTTTCATGTTCTGCTGCTTAAGGAAAGAGGTTTACTATTACGTAAAGTACTTCCTTTTTTTGTGAGTGTGCTAAATTTGTCTCTTTAATCCCTGCTTCCAGTATGTGGTTAATAGATCTGTGTTCCATACCTTTTAAGAATTGATCCATGTATGCATTTATTTAATAAATAATTATTGAGCACTTTCTCATAATGACTAAAAAGTTCTACTTTCTTTTGTTGTAGTTTACCTTCATACATATTCTAGATGATTTTTCCCCTTGTTTATCTACTGGTTCTTACCTGTACATCCCAGGTAGCATAGTCTTTCTCACTGATTGGCAGCCAGCACCTTCCACTGGTACAGACTTCTATATTTTGATGCAAAGATAAAGTAATTCTGTAAGTTTAATTTCCACTTCTCATACTAACAAGGGCCTATATTTTCTTGGTCTTTCATTGCAACTATACCTGTTTACTTAATAGTCTCACTATTTGTTGTTGGAATTGTTTCAAATTAGTGCCTGTGTGTTTAGGTCTATCTGTAACACTCCTTTGGATACTTTCCCCCCAGTGCCAGGACCTTCCCCTTACTCAAACTGAAAGTGTTAGTCGCTCAGTCTTGTCCAACTCTTTGCACCCCCATGGACTGTAGCCCGCCAGGTTCCTCTGTCCATGGAATTTTCCAGGCAAGAATACTGGAGTGGTTTGCATTCCCTTCTCCCAGGGGTCTTCCCGACCAGGGATTGAACCGAGGTCTCCTGCATTGCAGGCAGATTCTTTACCATCTGAACCACCAGGGGGGTCCACTCAAACTGAAGTGCATTTCACATTTTAAATATCTTGTGCAAAGCCTAGAAAGATCTCACTGATTAGCATCTTACTGTCTGGAAGATTTCATCCTATTCTGCCATCTTAGTTCAGATCAACTCAAAAAGCTGCTAAACCTTACAGTTCTTTACTCGCCTAGTAAGTATCACATGAAATAAAAATTTAGCCTGGACCAATAATTTTTCAGCCCCATCAATGAGTTATGATCATAGAGGACAAAGAGAGCTATGTCATCATTAAGCCCACAAATAATTCTCCAGCATCACTGAAGCCCTTAAATAAAAGATTTCTCACTATTGAACATTCTCTTTCTTACATTTTACACCTTTTTGCCCCATCCTTTATCTTTCTATCAAAACCATTGATTAAAAAAATAGTAGAGATATAAATAACTACCCAGATGTAAGCCAAATCCTTGATAAGCAAAGCAGGTCAAGGTAACAATTTTTTTTTTTCTGGATGGTTTGAGTGTGAAAGGAGTCTGCTAACTGGCCCACCAAAATCCATTTTCCCCCTTTACTGGGGGAACACACCTCAACTTCTTTTACAGCATCCCTTCTTATTCAGAAGAGCCACCTGTATGTGCTCTAGCTAACTTCCACTGTAGTGAGCCATTGCATATTTGGTCTGCTTCTTCCTTCAACTTAGTCTAAGCTGACATGTAACAGGAATTCTCTCCCTTAGAGTCAAGTCTCTCTCAGCCAACAGGGATGATTTTCCTAATCTAATAAACAGATGTCCCAACTGCCAAGTCATGAGGAGAAATCTTGGAAAGAAAGGATACAGCTATTTACTATTCCCAGCCTTCAGAGTTAAA